TTTCTTTCTGATTGCTTAAATAAATGGAATTGCTTAAATAAAGTAAAACAGAAAGTATCTATCTACTCTCTAACCAGAAAAGTGGACACTAATATGCAGAAGTTTAGGACAAAGTTTGTCTAGAAGATTCCGTATTTGCTGCAGAAAATCAAATTAAGTTAGTTAAAACCAAAACATCAAGTACTAAGTCAAATGTTTTTTCTTCAGGTTAAAGGTTGAGGAAGCCAAAGAAGTTCAGAGCCTCAGAAGGCGACCCAACGGGGTGAGGTAAGGGACGCAGCACCAAGGGTGTGAAGCTGTGTTTGGTCCGACGGTGTGATGTAACAGTAAATATCTCTCTTGTCACATCCCAACGTTGAGTAGAAACCGTTACACATCAGATAGTGCCAAAACTGTGTTCGTGACGGAGGAGTTTCTACGTTAAAGCCTGAAGGTGGAGAAGAGGGGGAGATAGGTTACAGTGAGCAAAGTCTGCTCTGTGTCCCAGCCATGAAAAAAGAGATTAAGATTGGGATATACCATGAAATGTATTTTCACCAGATTACTTTTGTACTGCACACATGCTTTAAATTGGACACTTTCACACCTCCTCCACCCCAGTTTCCCTCTCTCTTCTCATCTAGTGCTGTTGATCGGCTGATGAGCTAGCTGAAATGTGCACCAGCAATGAACCTGGTTCCTTGTTTTGCTGACTCGCTGTAAGGCACTAAAATCTGCTTTAACTTCTCATCTCCTCAAACCAGTAACAGTTCCTCTATCCATGTGGAAGGGATTAGGAAGATCGACAATTTAGTGTTAGTACAGTGTATGCAGTCATCTGCTAGATTTAGAGAAAGATAAAGAAATGCAGTAATGTTGGTAATATGTTTCCTTCCACTGAATTTACTTTCTTCATCTGCTTGACTAGTGCTGTAGCTCTGCTTGTGGGAGAGAAGTTGCAAGAAGAAGCAACACTTGTGGTAAGTGCTAGACGCTTCCGTCACCTCGGCACTAAGATGTAATGATGTGAAAACATCAGTGGGGTCCAGGCGATCACTGCACAGTCTGGCCTGGGGTAGGACTGTCACAGCTCAATACTTAAATGTTTTCTGTGGTTTTATCTAGATTTCGAAGACTAGCATTAAACTAGAGGGAAGCTTGAGGGTTTCTCGTTATTTCTTATTTTGCAGGATGATCCATTTAAGATAAAATCTGGGGGAATGGTGGACATGAAGAAGCTGAAAGAAAGAGGCAAGGACAGGTGGGTGCAGTGAGCTCTGAAGACCTCTCCCTGGACTAGTATTAAATGACAGCTAGTAATGAAATAACCAGATGTTGTGTTGCTTTGAAGAGTTGAACATAATGCAGTTTGGGCACTTACTGTTACCCTAACATGTCAAATTAGGTAAAAGACAAAACAAACCCAAACTGTAAACATTGTGGTTTCCATTTAGGATTAATGAAGAGGAAGATCTAAACTTGGGAACTTCATTCTCAGCTGAAACCAACAGGAGGGATGAAGATGCTGACATGTAAGTTGTGCTGCGTATTCGGGGTTGGGTGTCCCCTCAGTAGTCCCAGAACACCTTCCCAAGTTCTCACTGAAACTTTTACTTGCCCTTTCACCTTCTGGCTGCCAGCCTTGAGAAGGCTTTTTCATGGACAAAGATGGGAGGTGTCAACCAGCTAGCTGGGCGTTAAAATACTAGCGGGAGCCTTCCCTGATGGCTGTGAAAGAGCTTGGGCGATCTGAGCATTTCTTGGACAGTTGTGTCTTGCAACTGATGTTAGCTGAGCTGTTCTGGAGAGATTATTTGTTCCTGTCTCCTAGCTATCGGGACAGTGATGCAGCTGTGGCCAGCAGTGCTGCGACAGAATACAGAAACCAAAATTAAATGCTGTGTCCCCCTCGTGTGCTGCTCTTTAGGATGAAGTACATTGAGACTGAGCTAAAGAAGAGAAAGGGAATTGTGGAGAACGAGGAGCAGAAGGTGAAGCTTAAGAACGCTGAGGACTCTCTGTACGAGCTGCCAGAGAATATCCGTGTCTCGTCTGCCAAGAAGACTGAGGAGATGC